GTGGCCGCGTTTCAATCTGATTTTTCGTTGAATACCATCCGTGACAGTTAATTCCTGGCGCGTTTTAAACGCTAGCACGTGATACATACACTGACAAGGAGTGCAGTCTGACAGGAGTGTTAATACGTTTCGCGTGATCGCGGTAACGAAATAAACAGCCGAGAACTGAGTTCGAACGGAAAATTCATGAAATATGGTGTTGATCACGGAACCAAAGGTTTGGACATTGTCCGTGATTCGTCTGACACACGATTTCCTTACTCGTGTGGTAAAGATCACGCTGATAAATACCGATTTCTAACGATTCATCTATGATGGAAAAGATACAGTAAATCATCGATGAGTGGTCGAAGACTCCTCGGCATTAGCAGTGAGAGGTCCCCAAGTGTAAGGCTGACTTTTTAATGACGTTTAGCACAGTGTTAGCACTGGGAATATTAAAGTCAACGATATTTGTTGAAACCACATATGGCCATTCCTTTTGAAATATTTAATGTTCAGCGTCTTCGAACACTCATCGAGGATTTACCGTATTCGTTTTCTTGTTCTTTCGTTTCTCGCCCACGGTAGGGAATGCCATCCCTTATGGATCCTCCGCCGAGCCCTGTGCGATTGTATTTAAACGCGTGACCCCGAGGAACTAGACTGGAATGAACGAGAACTCGATGGAAGAGGTAAAAGAGCGGAAATTTTTCTTTTTGTTTCAGTTAGCGACGTGGACACGGCACCGCTGATATTTCAGGACTAGATTAATAGTCCTGCCGCGAAACTTCGTTGCGGTTTCCGCGATAAACGCGGTGGCAGTAGAATGATATATCGTGGTGTTACTTTTTAGTCATACCTTTCTGCATGAAGCACAGAGCGGGTATTGGTCGCGCGTCGTTGCCAACGATTCTGCGATCGACTATTTGATGCACGACAGAGGGAAACATTTTTGTCGAAAAAACGACCGTGTTTCCTACATTGTGCCCTTTTGGAATTTTCCTTTGGATCGGTAACCCGCGCGGTATTTCTCGTCGGTCTCCCTGGAAAATGTTCCAAGATCCCTGTTCGGACGATCGCGTTCCAAGGAGCAGTATATTTCAAAATTTCATTTCTCCGGGAGAATTCGCAACGGTTTCGAGTCACAGTGAGCTGGCTATTCCCGACGACGTTGTAACTCACCAGCTGGTTTTATAATCGAATCCCTCGAATGTGTGAGAAATAAGTGAAGTGTAAGTACCGAGACGAACTTCGACGTGATTTTCGTCGGAACGAGGGAACGGGAACGATATTCCACCGTCTAAAAACGTAATATCTTGCCGATAAATTACCCCCGTTTTGCTCGTTAACTACGGAGCACAATACCGCCGAGATCACAACAGCCGCGTGGGTATAGGAACGCGGTCCCTTCGAATAAATCCAAACTTTTATCGTAACAAACTTGTTTAGCGTGTAGCTGACCGAAAGAAACCTCCTTCCCTCTCCTCCTCCCGCGCAGAACTCCTCTCGTCGCTCTGATTAGCGCAACAATACGAAAACTTCCTGTTCCCTCGGAATTGGCCGAGTTAACCACCGACAACAACACCGGGCACAACTCGAGTGTCAATCGATCCGGTCCCTTATCGGCGGGAAAACACTTGGGAATTCTTCGCGCGACCGTGGAACGATCGGACAACACGCGGGGGCGGAACACAATCATTCAACGTTTTCCTCGAGTGCTGCTTCCGAAAAGTTATTGATAGAATCGCTAAAGAAGTTAATGGCTCGTTGTAACTGCTGTAATTGTAACTGAACGGTTTTTGTTTACTTTCGTAGAGGTGGAAGCGATATTTCGCGGGTCTTGGAGTTCACTCCTGATAAATGCTTCCTTCATCTTTCTCGGAAAATATACAAGCAGAGAAGTTTCAGTGGCTATCGTAGATGCGGAAAGATCGAGGTTCCAAGATTAACATGTTCGATCTTCTCGGAGAACAGTCTCAGTGTAATACACTTTCAACGGACAAACACTCGTCGAACAAATCCGACGATCCCCGATCCGTACGATCCACGTGCATGTACGGTAATGGACACGTGTTTTCGGACGAACTGCTTATGCTACAGTATTTGAATTGGGAATATTATTGATATTACATTATGTAATCAAAACATTTTCTAAGCGACCTCGTTGGACAAATTGTTTTCTTATTGAATATACCGTCTATTTCGGGATGTCGAGACATCGAGAAACAATGGATTTTTACGGTCCATTTAAGCCTTTAATGCCCAGACCCTTAAATCGTTATTTCAATATTGTGAGACCGATACATACACCGTATCTTGTTATTTTGAAGTAGAAAATGTCGATATTAAACCGACCTAATCTTTTGTCATCTTTTTCTTTTTTTATTTATCTCTGGAGGGCATACTTGAATTTCTCAATAGAAAAAAAGTGAAACTACGGATCCTTGCTGACAAAAGTTACATATTAAAGTTGTAAAAAACGACCTTTACTATTTTCTTCGCAATTCCAACCAATTGCAATCTTCTAAATCTTTTTTTACACATCATTTAGTAAACTAATGTCTCTAACTTCACAAAATCACTCAACTCATTAGAACCAATTTAAAAGAAGTTGTTCCGTTCTAAAGTGTGTACGAATACTTTTGACACCGACTGTATGTACAGTAGCCCTGCAAGTTCGGGGATCGGTATTTCCTCATTCTCGACCACTAGTGGTGAATTTCGAAGGGGGAAGAAGGGATCTTACCTTGATAGAGGAAGGACGGGACTGCATTTAATCACGATATCGCGTTGAACGCGTATCGTAACGAACGCGTGAGCTCCTTTCCGCGGTTGAAATCCGTCGAAAGATGGATGCTGCGATCGCGTGCCCCCGCCAGGACGAATCTAATTATCACGCCAAAATAGAATCCGTCTGAATTACGAGGCCACATAATCCGCGAACGCCGCCCGGGGCCGAAGAACGCTGTTTCGATCGAAATCCCGTGCCAAAAGCGTCGCGACGCTCGCTCGCCATCAATCCCTCCCTCCCCTCCGGAGCTTGACATTAACCCCGTTGTTAATGAGACTGGAGATTTTATTTCGAGCAGGGAAACCCTCTCCCCTTCCTCTCCGTTCATTCCCGACCCTACCCCCGCAGATCGTCCTTGGATCGTTTAATTCCCCGGTCGGGGAATAATTGAGAGATAAGAAAGGAATGGAGAAAACGTGCCTGGGCAGCGTCGGGACGAAAATGAATTGCGACGACCCCCTCCCCCGTTAACGAATTACACCGTCACTTTATATTTTTTCCTAATTAATGAACGCGCACGCCGTTTATTAAACGCCGGGAACGTGGCTAAATTGCTTCGTTCCCGTTGGTTCTTCTCGAGGTTGCGCGCTTGAATTGTCTTTCGTCGTGTGGTTTTTCTTTTCGGACGGGGGGATGGGGGGATTGGTGACAAGGGAAATCTTGTCTTGAGGGTTGTTATCGATGGAACATTATCCAGGGGAGAACTATATGACAGTTGAGGTCAGTCGATACCGAAGTGCGTGACGTACTTTCTTTTGTTCGAAGGAATCTTCTCTTTTTCGTTTAATGTGCTTCTCCAGAGGTTAACGATCCTCCGAAAGTCATCAAGAACAGCCAGTTCGACCGCTGTGTTTCGATATTAACGCGTTCACTGTTCGGAATCCCTCGACGAAACGAAATTTCACACGAAACAAAGAGGTCGTAGGAGGCGGAACGTACGAAGTAACGAGGCTCTGTCCTGGTTGTGATCGTATTAAACTGTGGTCCGTGTGCTTCGCAAATAATATTCCGTATAACTCTTTATAACCGCGATTTACGATCTTGCCCGGCCGGAGTAAATAAAGGGGGTGACGAGGACACCGAGGAAACATGGCCGCGAGCGGCGATGGCTCTTAACGAACGTGTACACCGAGTACGCGTTACGCTGTAACGAAAATGAATCGTAGCCCCTCCCTCTCCTCGCCAGGAGCGATAATGAATTCAAATCGATTCTCCGGGGTTTCTTCCTCACGCGGCCAGCGGCTCTCTTTCCTCTCTCGAACAATCAAACCGTCCGAGATTGATCCACGGCCGAGAGGAAATCCCCGCAAAATGGCCGTCGAGTGATTTACGCTGGGTCTCTTCCATGGAATAAATTCGAAAAATCGCAGGGGCGAAGGGAAGGAAGGGAGGGACGATCTCTTCCCGAACTTCGTGATTTATCTCGGACCGGCCACAAAACAGATTTATTCGCGATACGCGTGAGAACCCGGTGAACAACAAAAAACCACGACAGGACACGGTTGTATACGCGCGTCATATTCGCCGGATACACTTATAATCCCTGGCCCCGAGGTCCCGACTAAACAAATAATTTTCGTTCCAATAAATCTCCGACGCGCCTGGTACGGATACGAAAATACCCAGCGATTTTAATGCGACCTCGCCAACCCGTGCATTTGTTAATAATACCACGAATAACGTCAGAGACGAGTCCACGAAAGAAAAAAAGGAACCAGAAAAGAATTAACCGTAATACGATACTCCCTCGGTTAAATCTGCATCGAGTCGAAGCTTAACAACGTTTGTACAATCTGTTCCAGAAGAGCGTTGGAACAATATCTGAGGAAACAATTCATTTTTTGCAGCCATAGGGCTACCTAGGCACCACTCCTTCAAACCGTTTAGCGTACGCTGCACTCATTTTGAAATTCGAGCGTTTACAATGACAGTGTGAAGACAAACTGACAGATTCTTAATGTTGCGTCGTAGTATTTTAAACGTACTATAAATCTATTTTTGAACTTTTTAAAAATATAAATTATTTTTCCAAATACCGTTCCAACGCTTTTGCGAAACAAACTGCGTTTATTGACGGTGGAAACCCGTCTAGATCGCACAAAGTACAGCCACACATATGGAAAAGAAACGACCGAAAAATGAGAAAAATGAATTCTCTAAGAGTCTCTCTGTAGTCGGACACGTTCCCTGGAGGCTCGTACAACGTGCGAGGACAGTTCACACGGTTTCAGTCCTTGGCGGAGAACGCAGGATTCTCTCGAGACTGTCCCGCGTCGTAGCTCAATTTCGGGCAATCCTTTCGGGGATCTTTCTTGCTCGCGACGCTGTTCCTTGGTCCGCCGGGCACGCTAATCACTTCCGTCAGCTGCATCGCCCTCGCGAATCTCAACGCCTGAAAGGAGAATTTCGTCTGGTTTAGTGTGTGGCCGATGGTGGTTGGCTATTCCGGAATCTCACGGTTCCGCGACGCGTGGTTAGTTAAGGTCTACTGGGCACTGGTTTCCTCTGTCCGATTGCCGTTGCTCCAATGTCCGTTGTCGCGAGTAAATCGAATACATACGGCTACCGTGAACAACGGCTCTATGAACAGGAATTGATAGGGCAAAGGGACCGTCGAATTACAGGATCCTCGACCCTTATCTTGGAATAACGGAACGACCATGGTTCTGTAATTTTATGACCTGGGTGCTCGATCCGAAAGTTTGTTTAAGAAATCGAGGGACGAAGCATCGGGAACTCCTAACGGAAGATAATGCTTTTAGGATCCGTGAAAGATTAAAGTGGGAAGCATTCGAAGCATCCTCGTTTAAATGTACCGTCTCGCGATCTTTTTTATCAATATGGAAGAAAGCACTCGGAACGAAAGAAAAAGAAAAAAAGAAAACGTTGATTCCGATGGAGGACCGGAAGTTGAATTTCTTCTGTTTGACCGAGATGAATCGATTTCGTTAAGTGGAAAAATAACGTAGCCCGTTGGAGAGAATCTGCGATCCAGTTTCGCGAAGAGTTGAGAATTACAGTTTCGTAAATTCGATGATTAACCTGGTTACGAGGTCCGACGAAATTATACACCGTGCGTACGATTCTTTCGTAAACGCGTTAAACGACAGGAAGATTCACGAAGCCCCTACACTTTCAGTCCTCGTAAATCACGAATCCCACCTGGATGCAGATAACCTCGTTTTATGTTATCAACTAACCTTGTTCCAGTTTAGACAGACTTTCAGCTCGCTGCTTATATGAACTGTTTCTATTTTTTCTGTAAATTACCGCTTCCATTCCCTCGATCGCGCTTACGTCGACTGTCCACACGTTTCTGTTCGAATTACCCGTGTCGCCGCGACGAGTGCTTTTTTAGTTTTCCTCCCCTTGAAAATTCGTTCATTAGTCACCTTGTTCCCGACAATAATTCTTCCTACGTTCGAGACACGGCTCAGTGGTGTCGGATGAAATGTTCGCCTACCCTTCTGTTGGTCAGCGAAAAATGAAACGGACGCGCGAAAGACCCGTCGCGTAGGCTGGAGAAAATTAAACGCAAATTCGTCGCGGCGTGTGTTTTCTACCCCCGCGTCGTTTGTTTCGTTTAATTTCCGCCATTCATAGGACCCGTGGCGTACCGAACGGCGGACGAAGGTAGAAAAGATCCGGAAGGTAGTTGCAGCGTTAACCCCTACGCTGACGATTTCATATTTTTTTACGACTTCGCTCGCAGGAGTTATTCTAACATTGATAATTTCCCGGTAACATAATCAATTCCGTGTTCATTGCAAATATACGTTTACTTTAAATGCTGAATATAAAAATCAACAAAGTAGCGGTCCCTTCGATTTTAAGAAAATTGACGATATTCGTATTTCCTGAAACCAGTTCAGAATTTTCTCGACGAGTCTGACGCGTTATAAAGGGTTGAACGAACCCTCTCCTCCGTGGTGGTACATCGTTACGTAAAATCGGACGCTAAATGAACAGGAACATCGAAGATAAGACTACGGTTAAGGAAACACGGAATTTCCATTCTTTGGAAATGATTTTCTCCCTCAGAATTTCACATTCAAATCGTGTTTGAGCAAACTCGTATTCGTTCGAACATGCTCGTCCGCTTAATGTGAGCCAAGTGCCGGTCGGTCGAACGGAATTTGAAATCGTTATCAGATGCAAGCGATTACGCGTTTCTTCCGATGCACCGACGCGAAATCTGATTGCAGTTCCCCCTGACTGCGAGGACCAATCGGACGATATTACCGCGCGTAATAGGGTCTTTCGAGGCAGACCGTGGTCGCCTCCGGGTTCTCGGCCGATTTAATTACACGCTGCGCCGTCGAACGCAACGGGCGTGGTTCGCGTGACTTACAAATTAAAAAAAGTGACCCAAACGATAGAAAAAGAAAGAAAAAATACAGAATCTTTCCAGGTTCGAATGCATCGATCAGACGGATCGGGGGCAGAGAGGCTCTTTAATTTTTCTGACCTATGTACCCGCATCGCCGCTTTTTCCGCTCCCACGGAAACCCGTTTATTTCCGAACTTCATCTCCCCCGTTCAATTACGCGATTCATCCTTTTGAGGACGGTTTCGTTGCTCGCTCGTCGATCCCTTCGAACCGAATTCAGAGAGATTACGTTCGGAACGGTTTCACAGAACGCCCGCCTCTACGTAATTGTTAAAGCTGGTACGGTGTCGAAATTAATCTTCGGAATTCTTTTTTCGTTTCGTTGCCGCGTCGAAAACACGCTCGTGATTCTGCAATGACGAGGATGCTTGGTATATCTATAGACGGTGGGAAACAACTACCGAAGAATGGCCGGCAATCGAACATTCCGGTTCTGAAAGGGTTCACTATGGTTTAAGCTTGCCCGACGAGGCTGCTTCGGGATTCAATCGGCTCTCGGGCGCCCTCGGAATGCCTTTATGAAAGAACACCGGAGTTTCATCTTGAGAAGACCGCTACCGTGAATCTTTTGAATGCCTCGCGCTTTTTATCCAGTAGATACCTGGCTTTGACCTACCTCCAAGAAGAAATATTCAAGTATATCCACTTTGTATACCTAATTCGCGAGTGTATAGCCAGGAATCAGTGTTGGGCATAATTTCATTCGAATAGTCCAGTGTCCTTATCCTGGCCTATAACGCATGGACTGCCACAGTGAAAATGGTCGTACGTAGCCAGACACACTTTATCACGTTTTTAAAGTCATAAATCATTAAGCAGTTAATGAGATTAAATTGTTCGCCAAGTATCTATTGATTTAAGTATTATTTTCTCCTAAAAATTCTAATTTCCACAGTTAATTAATCAATATAGCAAAGTATTTTTTCTTTTCATCTTTTATCCATTATTCGAAACTCTTCTCTGCCTCGGCTTAACGATGTAAGGTACAATCTTTTTCATATATTTTTATAGAATTGAACTCTAGTTTACAGTTTTCTGTGTACTGGTATTTCGCGATTCATTTCAGGGGACAAGTATTTCTGCCTAAAAGTCACCAAAACACGGGGAAAAAAATGGCCCGGTCCATTTAAACAGGCGCGTAACTCAATCGATCGGGCGTCCGGCGAACTTTCAACCGGCGCGGTTCCGCCCGAATATTCCGGGAGCTGAATATTCTGTAAACATTTAACAAACCCACTGGCAATTTTCCAGTGTTCTCTCCCTCTGTCTCTCCCGCCCTGGATCGCGACCCCTCGGCCTCGATTCGGCCGAAGCCGATCGAAAGAGAGCTGTGATTTAAAACTCGTTACCTTTCGCCGGTCCCGGTGGGCGGAATACAAAATCCAAATAATGTAGGACACCATTATTATGGCCGGTATGCAGACGCCGGCTATGATCGAGGTGTCCCGCAGAAGTACATGATGCAGCGCCAGCAGCGTGATCGCGAGCGCCGCTCCACCGGCGACGTATCTTCCGGTCCGTCGTCGGTCGTCCTGCCAACAAATCCCGTATATCCGGTCAATGGTCGGGCCGTTTCGAAACAGGGCCAACGGAGATATTTATTACGATCCCGCGAGAAATGTTTTTCGGGGACGACGAAGACGAAGACGACGACGCTTCGTACTTCGAGTGATCTGGGGATGGGTTCGAGTGGTTGCCTCGAGAGGAATCGATCCTCGAGGACTGGGAGTTTGTAGTACAGGGAAAAGGGAAAAGTCGGCCAATCGAACCCGAGATCGTTGATCCTTTTTCTTTCAGTTTGTATAACGGTGGTTGTTGCGCTTGAACGTTTAGAGTAGCAAGTGCTCCGGAAGATTGTCGGCGAGAATGGTCAAACGTTGATTTATATAAATGCTCGTTCGTTTCTTTGTTTTATTCTGTATTGCGTTTAATGGTGTTTGGGACTTTGTCGCGGTGCACGAGGCAACTGATGACACTTGTATATTTCGTATAAAGCGTGCCGTGGGTACATCGATAAAGGGCAAGTGACGCGAGAACAACGAAACGGAGACGGTTCGGTGAAAATTGCCGCTATAAAACGTGATACCGAAAGAGAAAAATACACGGCCCCGGGACTAAAAGGGAAATATTGCCTGTATAACTAGAAGAAACAGATTTATGAACAGTGGCTAACGATAAAGTACACGTTTCGAGGCGCGTAACTGTATCTTCGAAGATAGAATCGAAACGGAAGAAGGTCTTGGGGCAGAAAGGAAACGCGGAAGATTCGAACAGTGGCGAGGCAATCGCGCGTGAATGTCAGTTCGATGTATTTAACCGCTTGTAATCTGGATAGTGTGCCACAAAAGCACTTAAAATCGATGAAATGAAGTCATAAATATAAAACTGGGAGGAATAAACTCACGAACGACTCCGCGGGGCTGCATACTTCTCGAGAAAATAAGATTCCGAGAAACGTATGTCGAGTGGAATCGAAATATTCAGAACGGTGTATCAAAGAAGAACAGTGAAACTATTTAAAGGCAGCAACATAATCCCATAAATAAAATCAGAACAAACTAGTCGAGTCGCCCAGGAAGCAGCCACGAATGAAACAATTAACAACACGTTTGTTGTTTCGTTCGAGAACCGAATGGAATCGGCCAGACGAGAGGTATCGAAAGAATGTTCACCCTCCGGTCGAACAAAGAACGACAGAAATATGTACGAACAAAAGCCAGACGGGAATTTATTTATCCGATTCGCGAACACTCGGATTTCGTTAACCCGGTTCTTTTCTCATTAGTCACGGTTCGACGAGGCCGTGCAACGAAGAGAATACGCGAACGGAAAAAAGAAAGAAAAATACATGACCACCCCCTCCCCTCTGCACGAACGGCATTAAATTTTAGGATAGCGATCGCGGCCGAACCGACAGCTCCATTTCCATTCGCGCGACACCGATGCAATTTAACCTGTCGCGAGGCTATTTCGCATTCCGCGAAACGGCCACGCACACACGCACGCGTGTACGCGGCTCGGGGATCACGCGAGCGCGGCCACCGACGTTTTCCTATTATTATCATATTCAAATCGAACCACTACCGGATGTAGATAGCCATCTCCGGCACGGAAACCCGGTTCGCTTCGCGATCTATTTTACTCGTAAGCCGTGTATGTTAGCAACGAACCGCGACGGCGTGCGTCGCAAATACAGAAGAACATCCGTACCGTGTGCAGAATCCCGACGAAACATTCTCGAGGATCGAAACGAACGTTCTCGAACTATTTCTCGCCACTTCTCTCCGCTGAAGAGGACCCACGATTTATACGATTTTTGACTTGCGGGAACAATTAAAAGAAAAGATCCGAAAGAATCGCGAATCAAGGTTTTACCGATCACAATTTTACTAGAGTAAAGGATCCATGAGAATTGAATAAGAAGTTCCTCGTAAGAGTTTCTACTTCATCCCCACCATTGGGGAGGCCGTAGAACCTGTTAAGAGTATCATTTATTGCCCCCCCTTTTCTGTGGTCGAGGCTCGGACCGAAAATAGATTTGTGAGGTGTCGAAAAAATTCGTGGTGCACTGTGAAAGTTCTGAAGCAGTCCCGAGTTTCAAACTCTCATGGAGCATTTACTGTAATTCGAATCCTATGGCGTTTCTACCGAATAACCAAGTGTATTTCGTTTGAAATCACGAGACCCATTCGATTTCACGGGCGAGGTAAGAAAGGAGGGATCCTTATCGAATATTTATAACGGCGGGAAGAATGGACGTAGACGCGTCGAACACACGCGCGAGACAGTGAGGATCGAACTAACCGTGGTTGTAACGGTGTTGAGGGTGTCCCTCGAGGAGGAGGCTTCCGATCGCAGAGGCATGGCCGTGACAATGACATAAAGCACCTTCACCCTCCGGACAGATTTAAATAATCCTCTGGGAATGGAAATATTCCGACGGATTCAACGAAGTGGTAACCTTCCTCCGTTCACCATAGATCACCGCGGCTCTGCCGGCCGATTCAATCTCCAAAACGTTCCCGGGGATTCAGACGACGACGGGGCCCGTCGTGATGCGTAAAAAATCTTGAAACACCGCGAGGATCATCGTTGTCGCGATCATCTTATCGCCTTCTCTCCCCCCGAATCGTGGTGTCGGTAGAGAAAACTTTCCACCGTTGCTAGCCGTAGTCTCAGGAAAAACACGATACCGTGAATTCCTTGGCGAGATTTACGAGCATAGTTGCCGCGGAAATGAAATCTCGCGGTCTTCGCTACCAGGTCCCCTAGGGGGGTTTAATTAAAGAGCAAGCCGCTGTGAGCGATCGTCGACGCAACCGTGGAAACGCCAAATCTTTCCCTCTCGCGAAACAACTAAGTTTATTCACGGTGAAACACGAGAAGCGCCAGCAAACCGTTCACTATGACATCTTCGATTAAATTCATCACGGGTCACCGGCACAAACTTTCCAGTTCGGATAAGACTTCTCGACGATTGCTGGTGGATCTTGTACGAAGAAACGAAACGCAAGAAGGAGCAACAAACTTCTAGGCTGGAAATAATTCCAGCCCCGTTGTTATTCGAATTGTCGTTTCAGAGGATCACTTGTCAGACACGCAAGAGTCGAAGAACGTATCCCTTTGAGGTTTTTCCACGGATTCCCTTCCCAGATCGCGGGCTGTGTTCGAGCTGTCGCGACACCGTGGTGAATGAGATCGAAAGCGATCGAGGGAGGGATGTATCGGCTCCGAGTCTCAAGAACGGCGCGGCAGTACCGCGAGCGTTTACAACGCGCGCCAGTGGCCGGTACAATATAAGCCAGGCAAACTGGCTATCATAATAAACGGATAACACTAACGCCGCGGATCATCACACCCACGTAGACAGAACTGCTGTGCACGACGCCACACGGTGCTTCGGTTGCGATGCGCGTACAGGAACGGAACAAGGATCGACAAAATTAGACGCATCCTTTCCTTTCGCGGTTTCATGGAATCGGCCGGTGATTGGGTTTGACCCCCTCCTGGTAAATTTCCTCGACGGTGGAAAATTATTCTCGCGAAGAGAGCGAATTAAAGAAGATAGATTGGTCATCCGACAGAAATTTTTGACCGGATAACCATTCCTCGAGCTGCCAAACGGCTCGATTCTCGTCGCCACGGTGACGATCGTTCTCCATCGAGATTCAGTTCCATCGGAAAAACTATGTCGCAGAATCGTTTCAGGTCGTCGTGATAACTAGATCTACCGAAAATGAATTATCTTTGCTCGTTCCGGCTTGCGAGAAGTTACGGGAACATTAAATTTCGAGACGCGACCGTCGATGTAAGACCGAAGAACTTTCAGCGTTACCGACTCGAATTCTTGTCTCGAAATTTCGCCCGTTGCAAATCGTCGTTCGATCGATATTTATCGGAAGTCGCAGAAATAATTCCAAACTCTGTGACCGTCACCGTTCTGGCTACCAAGTTCCGTTGGTCACCCCTCGGCGACTTTTGAATTCCGAAAGAGAAATCGGACAAATTGAACGTCCCCGTGGAACGATCGTAACGCGGCCGTTCCGCGGGAACAATCGCTGCCTCGAATATCCGGCGTTACGACTCCCGTCGTTGTTACAAGCCCCCTCCTCGTCGGGAACGTTCTAATGAAGTGATAAAACCGGCCTATATCGGCCACCCACAAAATGTTTCACGATCAAATAAAAGACTCCTCGAGCCGATTCCAGTCGAGCCGCGGCAATAAGCCCCGAGGATATTCGAGCTGGTTTCCACGCGTCTCACACGTACAAGAACCGGCGAACGGTCACCGTCGCGATTATGTTTCCGTTGTATCCTGCGTGTCCAGTTGCCTCTTCTCCTCCTGTGTGGGGAGGGCGAAAAATAAACTGGGCTCGAGCACACGACATTTACGAGCGGTCCAACCCTTAACGACATCTACACCGTCGATTCCATCGCGGCAAGCATACAGATCGATCTTAATGGAGACAATTCTTGGCACGGATTCGGTACACGTACGATCTGCTTTTCAATCGTGTATGAACGACCCTGCCGTTTCGCGAGGAAATCACTGGTAAACCGTTCTGTTTATGCACGATCGAACGACCACTAGGGAATCGTCGTGTTCCCGAAAACGCTGCAGAAGAAACGGGGTCCTTCTGTGACCTTAATAGACGGCATGTTTCGCCAACAAGATGGCGACTGACACACGGTGATACGTTCGGAAGATTTTCGTTGTTTGCCTGGTCTTTCGGATGACTTCCGTTGGGTCACGGTTTCGTCCTTGGTGATCTCTGTACGATCCAGTTGTACGGAAACCATCGAGACACGCGGTCGTAGATTCTCGTTGCCCTCGTGCCACGATTTCGATGTGGAAGTGGGGTGTGTCTGTCGGTCGATGGTCAGTCATCGCGGATGTAAACAAGAGTGTAGTAAACACGCGAGTTCGATCGTTTGGAAGACGAAACCGTACAGTTTTCGCCACTGTTCTCCACACATTCGATCGGGATCTTGTGTGGTATTGAACGTGCAAGGTGTTAGTGATTTTTTGCATTCGGAAATCTCGCCTGAGTCATCGTTTCAACGATTGAATCATCGATGTACGTTGAGAAAGATCGAGGATCCGTCTATAATAAGATTCACGCGAAACAGACGCGAAATTCGTGGCGAATTCATACGGGAACGCCCACTTTGCCCGTCGAATTCCCGTTCGAAAGCAAGGAAAGTTCTGACCTTTCCACGCTTCCAACGACCGTTCTGGTCTTCTGATAATAATTGGTCTCTCGACAACCGACCATGGAAACATCGTTGAAACCACGAACGACAGAGGGCTCGAGAAACTTTTAATTGCTCAGCCTCTCGCGAGCATTCGTGGATCCACCGGATAGATACTGACTCGTCGACGAATTAAATGCACAATAACTGTTACTGCCCATTGTCGCGAAAGACGCCATTAAAACGGGACGAATTTGTTCATGGAGAACCCCTCTCGTATTCACGGTGGTATCGCTTGGAATTATCCACCGGGTACAGTCTCTGTCGTAGGTGTCGACCCCTTCTGCGTTAAGCCTATTTATGTTTCGAACGGAAAATTATTTTCTATTTTCGACGACTAGGAATCTTAAGATCGGACTTTCGGGGAATCACTGATTGAAGATCGCGGGGGTGGCAGTAAAATAATACGCAGTTTCATACAGACCACGTAATATTGTCGGATACCAATTGAGTACTTACGTCGATTGTAAAAATAGAATAATTGTTTTATGGCTTGTACGAGCGGAGAACCCAGAAAAACAGCCTCCTACGTTGCAGCTAATTAATCCACGACTGTACACCCATTTCTCTGGTTCGCGGCCTCGGGGGGGTGGGCAGGGAGCAAATACGCGGCTCGATTCGTTTCCATTTGCGTTTTTCTTGAACGCTGCTGTGAATGCATGAATATTGAGTGGCCTTCTTGAACAAGCGATAATTGATTTCCAACAAGAGTTTTTTTCGATATTGCGGGGACCGAACGGCGGAGAAAAAAAGAGCACGCTTTACACCGTTGATTCGCAGTCGTTACACCGAGAAAAGCGTGGGCGGTCCCGAGGTTTCCACCGTAATTTTTTCACGGTATACAGGGTTTGCGTGTCGTAATAAATTTTAATGCACCGGCTAATCGAGATTTAACCACGTGGCTGGAAACAATGGCTGATCGATTTTTTGCCCCGTCCCCCCTCGATTGTATCCGCGAATCGTGCGTCCTCCGTTCGTCTCGAAATTCTTCTCGAGCGCTCGCAACCGCATTCCAGACTCGCGCGATTTCACGGAGCGTTTTGTTTATCTTCGTACGGTAATTCGTAAACGCGGTTAGACAAGGTGGTGTGGGCGGTGTACGTGTTTTTCGTCAGTCGTCACCTCGTAAAACCGACGTATACCGGATGTTCCGGTAACTGGAGACTCCTGTCAGTCCACGGTATTATGAATCACGATGCTTCCTGTGGTATCGAGAGTTATTGGTATACCGGATGAGGTTACCTGTGTGCCTGTCGAAGCTGCTGCATCGATAGCGAGACTCAAATATTTCCTTTTCACGCTACGTACCGTGGATATTCGAACTTCACGATGTTTGGGCGTTTTTTTACTGTATGTATTAACAAGGGTGCTGAGGCAATGGATTAATTCTTGCGGGTTCTCGATTATTTTGACGGTAAAGCCATTCATTATTGATTTAAATGCGTTTTCGAAGAGGAATTCAATGCGGGTGTATTATAAATTTGTATTGAATGTGTGATTGTAATTTGTGTTTGCAAACGATTGACCTCTTTTCCAATATTTATGCAACTGTATTTCCATGTTTACCAATGAACCGATAGTTTTCAGCTGTTGGACAGGTAGCGAGTGAATCGGTGCAGAGTAACGTAGAGCGCGCCACTTTATCGTCGAATGACTTCTGCAATTAATAACTAACTAAGTATGGATATTCTAAAAGATATTCTGAAAAATTTCTGAAAGGTCGCTACCGTAGATGAGACTTAAGGATAGGACCACCGACAGGGTATAAGAATAGACCTTTCATCTTATGGGAGTTGGTGGCCTACCTAAATTGTAGTATCGACACCTTAAAAAGCATGTGATTTTAGTGACCTCTACGTTATGAGAACGATAAAGAAACGTAACCCCAGAAAAGTGAGCCGCAAAAATACATTGGATGAAATGTCTACTCCTATACCTCGTCTGTGATAGGACTTATCTCGGGATTTTGTGGTCCTAGGAATCTGTTATACCGACAAGTTAAAAAGCCTCTGATTGTAGCAGTCTCTGTTACAAACGAGATATAGAATAGACATAACATGTAATGCATTCCAGATTATCGGGGTCCAAACATTCCATTCCAATTTTAATGT